GACTGATAAATGGTGCAGCTGAAACCTGCAAAAAGGATAAACAAATCCATCATCAAGCCACACGAGAAGCGCAAGACAAATACAGAAAACCACGACACTTGGCTACAACCTGGTATCAATGAGACAACAAAACCACGACACTTGGCTGCAACCTGGTATCAGTGAGATAACAAAACCACGATACTTGGCTACAACCTGGTATCAGTGAGACGACAAAACCATGACACTTGGCTACAACCAGGTATCAGTGAGACGACAAAACCACGACACTTGGCTACAACCTGATATCAGTGAAACGACAAAACCACGACACTTGGCTACAACCTGGTATTAATGAAACGACAAAACCACGACAATTGGCTACAACCTGGTATCAGTGAGACGACAAAACCACGACACTGGGCTACAGCCTGGTATCAGTGAGACGACAAAACCACGACACTGGGCTTCAAGCTGGTATCAGTGAGACGACAAAACCACGACACTGGGCTACAGCCTGGTATCAGTGAGACGACAAAACAACGACACTTGGCTACAACCTGGTATCAGTTCAAGCCTGGTATCAGTGAGACGACAAAACCACGACACTGGGCTACACTGGTATCAGTGAGACGACAAAACCACGACACCTGGCTACAACCTGGTATCAGTGAGACGACAAAACCATGACACTGGGCTACAGCCTGGTATCAGTGAGACGACTACAACAACCTGGTATCAGTGAGACGACAAAACCATGACACTGGGCTACAGCCTGGTATCAGTGAGACGACAAAACCACGACACTTGGCTACAACCTGGTATCAGTGAGACGACAAAACCATGACACTGGGCTACAGCCTGGTATCAGTGAGACGACAAAACCACGACACTTGGCTACAACCTGGTACCAATGAGACGACACAAGAAGAAGGAAGAGATATATAATTCCATGATTGGCCACGGTTACCACCGTAGTGCATGATGATGATGACTATTGAGGATTTATAACCTGGCCATGAAAAGAAACCTCACAAGCAAACTGTTGATTACAATTTGTTTTCTATATATGGGCATGAGCAGCTTGCGTTTTCTAGACATGTTAATCGATATTTTAACCACATCAAATGGGCTCATCAATAAATCATTGAAGTCAAGGCTTGATAAGCGAGGTAACTTTCAGTTACTGCAATTCAATTCACGTTAGTTAATCAACCTACCAACTTTAGACAGCCGATTAATTCAAAACAATATTCTGGCCCAAAATAACTGTTTAATAGGGTTGAACTGGGTTTGTGTGCTTTGCTCTTGTTTGATTCTATCCGAACAGTAACTCTCTGAGCACTAAGGGGGTCAATCTTTCATACTGCAATACCGGATAGGGAAAATAAAAATGAAGAACATTTCTTACAGCAGCCGTGTCAAAAAGGTCGGGAGTCATTTCAACTAAGACGACAAATCAGTGGCGACATTCAGTTGCAACTAAAGTCTTTCTCAGATCTGCTAATTTCACCTTCTCACGATTTTCTTTGACAGGCAAGGGCCTGGGCGTTTCACAAGTTTTATTATAGGTAATTGTAATGCTATCACACCGGGGGTTGTAATTCTATAAATTTCTGGTCACTTAAAGTGAGTACTTCAGAAAAGAGACAATTTTAGTTAAGGAGGTGAGTCACTTGCAAGCACTTTGTTTGTTTCTGATCGGATAATTGTGTGCTGTTTTTGCCATGTCAGATTACTTGCTTTAATATTAACTATTAACAAAGTGGGGTGGTGGGCAATGTATTTTTATTTTTATTATTATATTATTATTAGTAGTAGTAGTAGTAGTAGTAGTAGTAGTAGTAGTAGTAGTAGTAGTAGTAGTAGTAGTAGTAGTAGTAGTAGTAGTAGTAGTAGTAGTAGTAGTAGTAGTAGTAGTAGTAGTAGTAGTAGTAGTAGTAGTAGTAGTAGTAGTAATAGTAGCAGCAGCAGCAGCAGCATCAGCAGCCGCAGCAGCAGAAACAGCAGCAGCAGCAGCAGCAGCAGCAGCAGCAGCAGCAGCAGTAGTAGTAGTAGTAGTAGTAGTAGTAGTAGTAGTAGTAGTAGTAGTAGTAGTAGTAGTAGTAGTAGTAGTAGTATTTGATGTAACAAATGTAGCAGTAGGGGGAAAATTAATAATAATATAGGAACAGCAGAACCTACTGCAAAAGTAATAGCTGCAGCAGCAACGTAGATAGAAGATTCTATGAGTTGAGAAATCGCTGTTATTAGTATTATTTTATGTTATTATTGTTATTGTTATCCTTTGATATGATGATGAGGCTGTAGACGTCACGTCGGAAAGCAAAGATGCTCGTCGTGTACAATGTTGGGTGAGTAGACACTTTTTTTTTTCTAGAAATAAAGTCCTAATGATGATGATGATGATGATGATGATAATGATGATAGTGATAATGATGATGATGATGATGATGATGATGATGATGATGGGTAGTATGACAAAAGCAATAAAAAAATTTAGTTTTATATTTACCATTTTGCATTGCATCAGCTACAGAAACCGTGTTAATGAACAGTTTTTCAGCTCATGTGTCATTTTTTTTTTTCATTTCGCCAAGATTTCTTCAGGTCATCACTTGACTGGGATTTGGCAGTTTTGTCTTCATAATCTGGTGCACTTTGCAGAATTCTCAAATTAAATGGCCAGGTAAGCATTGCTACAATTCTTGAGTTGAGAATAGACACGACAGCACTTCCCATAAGCGTTCCTTCCCTCATCTTCAGCAGGTTCCGGTTCGATGCCACTAGCTGCAGGTCGATTGTATGTCCACCTTTCATTCCAATGACTGAGGACTGTCAGGAATTTTTAACGTGCGCCATAATACACACGGAAGTCTGATCTTACTACCAGAAACAAGGGAAAATCAATAGAAATAAATCCCAGTTTTAACTGGGGCCTGAACTCGATACATCCAGCGCTCGAGGCGGGCTCCAAGCCTCGAAACCACTTAAAACCTTCACTTCTCCCCCCCCCCCCCCCCCCCCACAAGCGATGTTACACCAATATCAATTTTCTCGATTACCATTTCCTATGCCTTATTGTTAATGACTTGTTATATTTTCTGCGACTTTTTATATTGTATTATTTTTAGTATCAAAATTGTCCGGACAGTATTAAACAAAACATACATCATCAGTCCTAGTCATCCCCCTTGTGAGCTGCAATGTTTGGTTGCTTTAAGCCCCAACGTGGCTTTTACCGGGAGCCCTATATATAGCTAGACCACATTTGTGGCCATAACGGCTGAAAGGGGTTTCTGGGACATCCCCACAGGTGATCCTTATCCGCAAGGTGGCACTTTGTATCACCGGGTGTTTATCGTTTGTGTGATGTCCTGGTGGGGCACAACAAGCAAGCAACAAAACATCATTCAACAAGGTGTTTTAATGGGAAGTCGCAGTGGCGTAGCAACTAGGCGCCAGCTTATGGGTCCGAGGATACTGGGTTTAAATCTGCATGGAGTCGGATTAGTGGTTTTTTTTTCATATATGAACTTAACTCTCAGGTCTATTCCACCCTCCCCCTCCTCCCAACACCACCAGCACAACCACCACCACCAGGGTAAAGTCCTGAGTGCCTGAAATATTTATCCAATAAGGCAAAGGTGTGGAAATGGGTCTTTTACAGTAATGTTAAGGTGTCTCCATTTACCCGTTTTTATGATGTTCAATGCGGTTTCTGGATTCATCGCTGTTTTATTGGTTTCCAAATTGGAAGCAATCCCGGAGAGTACAAACATTCCTTTTACAATGTGTACTATGTTGTTCTTTATGTGCTGATGAAGGCTAATCGACGCAACGTTTTTTGTTTGTTTATTGTGATCAGTTTTGTAAAGCTAATATAAACTGTTTGTTCTTTCTTACCAACTTTTTCTCTTCCCTATAATTGTCTACCTCTTTAAAAACTTTTACACATAACGCACGTTCCGATTCCTCCCGGTGCTAACGAAATTTGTATACTATATTGAAAGGTTTATTGTGAGGAAGGATAATCATCCCCACGTTGAACTGCAGATTACTTTGTAACTCTAGTGGTGTCCTGATATAACTGTGTTTTACAGTTGAACCATGACCTACTTATTTAAAACTAAAGTGTTTTGAACAGTTTCTGTGATCCAGTTAAACCTACTATTTATTTAAAACTAAAGTAGGTCATCATTGAACAGTGTTTCTGTGATTTTTTACAGTTAAACCATGACCTATTTATTTAAAACTAAAGTAGGTCATCGTTGAACAGTGTTTCTGTGATTTTTTACAGTTAAACCATGACCTACTTATTTAAAACTAAAGTAGGTCATCGTTGAACAGTGTTTCTGTGAATTTGCTTCTGCCTGATTCTCATCCTTGAGGTGTTCATCCCACAGACAACAATCCATGAGGGAAACAGTTATCTACCTTAAGAGAACTCTTCTGCGAAATATGTGTGAAATCTGCCTGACCCACTAGAAACCAGATCGATAGTTGACCTGGCTGCTGTCTTGTTATTTCTGAACGTTGTCACTGAGTAAAAAAGTCGAGAGATGTGAACCAGCCTCATTACACACGGTTATAAACCATAAGTGCTCTGCCACCAGTTCGGACAGCTGATAAGAAATTGTCCGCCTGTGTCGCCGTCCGCACGTAACTCCATAACTACAGCGACGTTCCTCCATAAACCCCAGAGTGTCAACGCTGGTACCCATTTCCTAGAGGCTGGGTGAACCTCAAGCACGCAATATGAGAGTGAGACAAAGAGAGAGAGAGAGAGAGAGAGAGAGAGAGAGAGAGAGAGAGAGAGAGAGAGGAGAGAGGGAGATATGGGGGTTTTAGAGGCAGCGCGTCTACGTCGCTGCTAAAGAATGAATTGGGAGTAAAGTGGGCGAGCGACGTTCAACCCGGACCAAGACGGCACAAGGATCGATTAACAAGCCATTGTCTCTGATTTCAGATACTACAGAAAAAGCACAGAAAGATGCCGGAGACGAATATTGTTTTCCTGGATGGCGAGCGTACTTGTCCTCCTGGGGACGGTCTGCTTGTATAGCTATATAAAACTACATTTTCTAGAGGCACAAACACAAACCTTCCCTGTTAATCAGCTTGAACGCGGATTTGTTTCCAGGAAGAGAGCACTTCAACATATGGGCGACCTTTTGACTCGGCTCCGAATGCAGCAACAATCCATCACGTCGTTGGATCAGTCGGAGCTTCGGACAAACCAGTCAGAAATATTAACTGAACTCTCAACAGATCTAGAAATAGTGCAATCTCTGGGGCTGAAGTCTTTAAACAGGCACATTGACATGCTATTAGGAAGGGATTCAGAAGCAGAAAAGTCGGAAGAGGATGAAAAACCCTCAGTTAGAAACAATAGCTTCAGCAGACATATTGTCACTCCTAGATTTTGTTACACTACAGCAAACTCCCCACAGGGCATTCAGCGTCAGGTGGACCCATCCTTCTGTACACGGTTGATCGACTTGTTCAACGACATTCAGCGCGGTGACCAGCCTTCCTTGCTGACCATATTCACCTGGCTTCCTGACCCACTATACGACGCCGACAGACTAAGAAGGCGCGTTTTATTTGAAAATTGGACCCTGTTGCGACCAATCGTCCAGCCAGTTCTGTTTACTGACAGTCGAGTTTACATGGCCCTTGCCAACGCCTTCGACTGGCCGTGTTTTCCTGTGAGTCGTTACAGCAAACAGGGAGTTCCTGTGTTCAAAGATATGGCGCGAACTGTTGCCCAGAAGTTCAACTCTACGTTTTACGGGTACGTTAGGGCCACCACAGTTTTTGACGCTTCATTGGTGGAAACGCTACTCAAGGTGAAAGAAACTTACGTGGACAAATTGACTGGAAACTGGACGCAACTAATAGGCAACAGCAAAGATAATGTACACAATATGAAGCCGGTTCTTGTCTATGGGAGGTCTCTTAAGGCCAACAACCTAGGTTCCATGAAAAGTCTGGAGTACTTGTGTCAAACTGTCAACACAACTGAAGGTCACGATTGGCCGGAGAGAAAGGAGTCCTTGACCTATTTCTTCTACTCAAACCTGGACTTTTCCGACATCCCTGATTTGATAGTGGAAGATAAATATTTGACCTCGCAGCTCGTCTCGAGGTCAATGGCTCTGAGGCACCTTGTTGTGGACGCCAGCGCCACCCTGTTTTCTGCCCACGTGGTCAGAGGTATCACCACATCCGAATGGGGGCGCCAGTACCTACCTGCAAAACCACGAGATCCCTATTATAACAGGAAATTGGGAAGTCTGTACTTCCACTCCCAGGGGATTTCCAGACCGGGGAAACGACTCAATGAAGTGGCCACAAAATTTTCCCGAAGTGGTCATATGTTTATCGATATTAGATCTGGAGAACGTCTTTCAAAGTAATTATTAAAAGATCGGGCTCTCCTCCGAACTTCTACCCCCGCATTATGGCGGCCTGAAATATCCTTACAGGGCTCAGACCAATTAAAAATATGCGAACTTCCGGCGATGAACGAATCGCGGCAAAACTAGGATCGGCTCCGTATAGCGAAACAAATGCTCTAACAGGGTCTCAGCGATATGTTAATTGCGGACCTGTTTCTGTGACTATGCCTCACCGCCGACCGTATGGGGCTAAACTAGATGGCTGGGACTCACGAGCAGCAGCTACCGCATCTCCTGCAACTTCCTCCAATTAATTTGCTCGTGAGTCCCAGGCATCTAGTTTAGCCCCGCACGTAGCGGCGCAGGAGATACTCTCGGCTTAGCAGTGTAGCTCCCTATTCGCTCGGCGGTGAGTTGAATCGGAAGAACACTATCGCTAACCTGCTTCGGAGCGCGTGGTCTCCCCGCCATGTTACTATTATCGTGTGTATTGTTGCGTTTCTTGAAATTGTCAACGGACAGTAATCCTAGTTTTGCCGCGATGTGTTCGTCAGAGGAAGTTGGCAATGTACATGTGACTAAGGCCCTGTCAGGGTGTTTTTAGCCGCCATAATTTGTGGCTGTTATTCGGAGGGTAGCCAAAGATCTAATCGGGGTAGCCTGTACCAGATGCGATTATTTGTTTATTGATATTACATCTAGAGGACGTGTTTCAAAAAAAGTTATTATAAAGATCTTATCATCGATATGATAGTGTTGTTAAGTTGTATCAGATTCTCTTTCTTCATACCGACCGATGTTCGTTGATATTTGTGGTCTTTTGTCTCAATGTTTCTGCTCGCTTTCTTTAAACCTTCTCTTTCTTTTTCTTTCTTACTTCTTTTTTTTTTTCTTCTTCTTCTTCTTTTCTTCTTTTTGTCCTCATCCTCCTTCTTCTTCTTCTTCTTCTTCTTCTTCTTCTTCTTCTTCTTCTTCTTCTTCTTCTTCTTCTTCTTCTTCTTCTTCTTCTTCTTCTTCTTCTCCTTCTCCTTCTTCTTTTTCTTCTTTCTTCTTCTTCTTCTTCTTTCTTCTTTTTCTTCTTCTTTTTCTTCTCCTTCTGCTCTTTTTCTTCTTCTTCTTCTTCTTCTTCTTCTTCTTCTTCTTCTTCTTCTTCTTCTTCTTCTTCTTCTTCTTCTTCTTCTTCTTCTTCTTCTTCTTCTTCTTCTTTTTTTTCATCTTCTTCTCCTTTTTGTTTTCTCTTCCTAACGTTTAACTCTACAGCAGCTTACGTATAAAAGAGTAAGAGTTAGGGTAATTTATACAACACCATTACCTTCTTCCTCTTCTTTTCTTTTTTTCTTTTCACTAACCGTACCTCGACCACCTCAGCACACTGAGTTGTACAAAAAAGAGCAGACATGTGTAGACATGACCGGATGTACACTTCAACAGGTCCTAAGCTTTACAAAGCCCTAAAACCCCCACAGCTTTTAATTACACCAGCTTTTTTCAGAAAACTTTGCAATATTCGTATAATGGAAACATATTTTCGTTTTGTTTTTATTAACAGAAATGATAACGAAAATTATTTTAAGAAACTTTATGCTCGTGTTATAGAATCCGCTAACGGGCTCGAAGTCGCAATTGAAATGGCTTTTTGGCGCAGGTGGGTGAGGGGGGGGGGGAAGAGAGAACTAAAATATATTAAAAATAAAACTGCATTTATGAGGATAAAGAATCTTTTTGAGGTCCCTGCAGATTGTGCAGCCCTTAACCAGCTTTTTTAGCTTGTAACTAAATCCAGCACTGTCTGTTGGCAGCCGTTGGAAGTTTCGTTTTATTTGGTCCGTATGTTTGCTTTCACTGGTTGGAAACTCAACCGGAAAGTTTTGAATTTTCGTCCATTTCTGGACTTTAGTCTTGTTTCAGTACCTGAGTGTTGCGTACACATCACTTTTACAAATTTAAATTTCTTGTATGTGCAGCCTTTTTGTTCCTTGCCACTGGGGCAGATGCACTCCGACTTCGAAGAACCCCCCCCCCCCCTCCCCCAGTTAGTCGACTCTTACGACATGCTGAATATAACACACAAAAATTAAATAAAAATCGCAACGGAAGGAATTGAAAAGACACAGATGAACACGTTACATTCCTTCCGTTGAACTGTGTAGTCAATGTTTGTGTTATATTCAGCATTTCTTGCAATCAGCTCGACTGTCGTCATCCCTTATTTAAGACTCTTACGAAATGCTTATTGTAGAGGCAGTGAGTCTATTCTTGTTTTCTCCGCAATGGGGCCCTGGAACCCACAAGGGACAATGAAAGTTTGACATAGGCCACAACAGGTTGTGGCGGTCACTAAAATTTCCTATAACTTGAGGATCAGCCGACTGTGGTAACTGACTCATAGAGAATGTTGACAACAGTGAAATCGGACATGTTTCGTGAAGATAGCCATGCACTGCTATGTTATGTTAGCACAACCGACATCCTAGCCAGTTGGGCATTCCCACACGTGCTCAGTCCTTCGATGCAGCAGCCACTGCAAATCTACTTTTACTGATTGTTTTTTATGAGAAGTTGATTGCAGTATCTTTTTTTCTTCACCTCGAAGATGGCCAAACCAGCGTGTTGTGATGTCATTAACTTCGCGTCCTTTTAGGATGAAATTTTTTCGTTTTTTGAAGCCCTACTCTGGCTTTTGCCAGGGGCCGCAATATAGCCTGGCCATAAATATGGCCTAAAGGCTGAACGCGGTTTCTGGGACCTCTCCACGGTGATCCTCACCCACATGGTGGCACTTTGTGTCATCGGGTTTTATCGCTTGCGTGATGTCCTGGTGGGGTAGAAAGTCAGTCAGTCAGCGTGTTGTGATAGGAACAATCAGGGAATACATCGCCACAGTCCCCAAAGAATGTTGTAAAGTACTAGCAGCAGTAGAAACAGTAGCAGTAACTGTAGTAGCAACAACAGCAGCACTAGTAGAAGCAGTCGTAATAGCAGCAACAGTAGTAGTAGTAGTAGTGGTAGTAGTAGAAGTAGTAGTAGTAGTGGTAGTAGCCGCAGCAGTAGTAGTAGTAATAGCAATAGTAATAGTAATAGTGGTAGTAATAGAAGCAGCAGTAGTAGTAGCAGCAGCAGTAGTCGTCGTAGTAGTAGCAGCTGCAGTAGTTGTACTTGGTGGGAGTTATATTAGTAGTGGGAGTGTAGTAATAGTAATATTAGTAATAGCAGTAGTAGTAATATTAGTAGAATTAATAGTAATAGTAGTAGTAGTAGTAGTAGTAGTAGTAGTAGTAGTAGTAGTAGTAGTAGTAGTAGTAGTAGTAGTAGTAGTAGTAGTAGTAGTAGTAGTAGTAGTAGTAGTAGTGGCAATTGTTCTAGTAGTAATAGTAGCATTGGTAATAATATTAGTAGCAGCAGCAGTAGTGGTAGTAGTAGTAAATATCAGAACTCTTCACATCTGCCGACAGTGTATTAAACAAGTATCAAGCATTATAAGCCAAGAACCATGCAGTTGACAAGCTGTTATTATAGATGCAACACTTTTGCTGCCAAGTCTGCAAAACTGAATTAATCTTAAGAAGGGGATGCAACTCCAACAAGCTACATCCCGTTTGTTTTTTACTGTAAAGTATGAATGTGGAATGTCCAAGACAGATCTCTGCTACCTTCCGTTGGCTTGAGAATCAGCTGTACACACATGTCGTCAGTGTAACTGACTCACAGAGCATGCTGAGAAAGGTGGAGACATGCATGCTCCGTGCAGAGTGGCAAGCATCACTTCCGAGGTCCCGGGTTGTTAGCATCCTTTGGATATTTTTTCCAGGTGACGCCGGTGTGTTGGGAAATGAGTAGGCGGATAGACTGGCCGGTTCTGCACCACTTAGTAGTGAACTGATATATGACAAGCTGGATATTGTGAGGGCCCTATGGGAGTGAGTGAACAGTGCCGAGGAGCAGATAGGTCATTACGGTCTGAGGAGAATGGCACTGCGAGGAGTTACAAGGGGATCTGGCCGACGCTCGACACTCAGGGAAGGGGCGAGACGGATATACAATCAGACTGTTACTGGTACCATCGGAATTTTAACTCTTCGCTTGCTGCTAAAGATGGGGACGTAGCGCTTATGGGAGTGCCCCGAGTGCTGTGATGTCGATTCTCAATTCAACATTCAAGAAGGATCTCACATGCTACATAGAATTATAAATTGTTCACTTGCTAATCAAAGGACGAAAGAAGTTGTAGTGATATAATATTAACTATTGACCTTTCCCTCTCTCGAGTAGGACGGCTCAACTGTTTTGTGGGTACGAACACACATTTAAAGGTACCACGTGTTTAAAACCGTTGAAAAGTCTTTATATATATATATATATATATATATATATATATATATATATATATATATGTGTGTGTGTGTGTGTGTGTGTGTGTGTGTTGATATATATATATATCATTCATATATATTAGACATTCAATGAGTATGATCCGGAGGGTTCAGGCAGGTTCAGTGCGAAGACAATGGCTTGAATCATTACAGAAGTCCACTGTTCGTGGAGTCACCTTTATTTTTGTTCCGGGACACGCAGGCGTCGATGGAAATGAAAGAGCTGACAGGTTGGCTGGATCCGCTATCACTACCGACGGTCAGCCTATGGATCATGCTGATATTATCAATGCCCTCAGAGAAATGGGAAGAATAGAGGACTTTGGTGGCAGTGAATCCACATCACTCGCCAGAATGGCAGACTTGGGAATTAAGATCGGCACAGCAAAAAACGAGACGCACACCAGCTACGCCAGAAGACTTGTTAATCAACATAGAACTGGTACTATTAGCCATCGGACGTTGGGGTTCATACTGAGGGGAGGATCTGAGCACCTATGGACATGTCCGGAGTGCAATGAGGATAACCCAACTAACTAACTAACTAACTAACTAACTAACTAACTAACTAACTAACTAACTAATATATTTAGACACACACACACACACACACACACACACACACACACAGTGGTGTAGATGAACCAA